ACTCACCACTGTGTAGCCTTTCCCCGGAGAAGACTCCATTATTCCAGGACGTCCACTCCTCGCCGGTTAAGCCGGCGCTCTCTGCCGAAGCATCGGATCCAGGCTAATTAGCATCCCCGGAGAAGCCCCGTTGTTTCAGGGGCCACTCCTCGCCGGTAAGGCCAGCGATCCCTGCCCGACGCCTGGCATCGGGTCCGCTAATCCCTACCTATAGCCCTAACACTGTTTCGCATTTACCCAGGCCCGAAGACCTGTGGGGCAAGGAAAAAACCCTGGAATTACTCTGAAGGAAAATTCCACGGAAAAATCCGCCCCGAAACAGCCGGGGTTTCATAGGAACTTTTCCCGATGAAAACAGTTTTTGAAAAAAAATCTGCATTCACCCGGAATCGAACCCACGACCCCTAGAACTGCGTTGTATCAGTAACAAGCACACTTACCACTGAGCCAACGCCGCTCCTGATACTTTATTTATTATTAGCTAGGAACTCTAGGTCCAAGTTAGTTAAAAGCGTAGTGTGTACAAAAACTAAAGGGTAGATTTATTACACTCTACTACAAAATGGTCATGCAAATATATAAATTATACAAAAAAGTAATATTAAGTGTAGGTAATATAACAAAAAGGAAAAAAATTATAAAGTAAGAAGAAAATGTAGCTTCTCGACAATCATTAGTATAACTAGATTAACATTAGTAAAATTAAACATTAAAAATGATGTTTAAAAGAAATATTTTTTTAATTTAAAGCTGAGATCAAAATATTTATTAAATCGAGTAAATCACAGGCTCAAGAGTTAAATAGACAAGGTCTCTCAAGAAAAAGCGTGCAGAGTCTATCTCCGAAGCATGGTCTAGAGAAATAAGTTCGAACACACATTGGGATTTTGTTCTATAACTTAGCTGCACTCACTCTAAAAGCAGCTACAAAAAAATCAATCAACGCTGAGGACAGATCAAGATGACACACTCTTGTCACAGATTGCTCAGTTATCCTGAATCAAAAGCAACCCAATAAATAGGATGGTTGTCGTGTCCTAAGTATGGAGGCCAAAAAGGGCACAGCCAGAAATTTAGATCGAACTACAAATGTCATCAGTTTAAAACTACGATAGATAGGTGTCATATGGTCAGACTTTAATGCCTACCACAAAACGAAGGGCAGCATTAATGCACCTGCTGAGCTTCAGTGGTAGTTGACTTAATAGTCCTAGATAAAGAGGCGGGCAATACTCTAGGATGGAGAAAACTAGTGCTTTTACAAGCATAAGCTTAGTACTTACTGGAAGAAAGTAACCATTTCTCCGTAAGCGTGCAAGTGCCCTAAAACATTAGCCAGCAATGTCAGTAGTGTGTAGTCTAAGTATTAGACTTGCATCAAGGGTTACGTCCAACAATTTGAGTGACTCAATACTCGCGAAGGAACAATAATACTATTTTTTAGCTTAATATCTAATATGACTAGTTAAATGAGTTTGGATTGAAAACCGCGCGTGCCAAACCAAGCTACCTTCGACTTATCAGGTTTTGCATATAGTATATTGGAATCCGTCCACTCACCAACATTGCTTAGGATGCTCTTACCTTTGTCAACGGTGAGGTGTGCCTCAAATAAGGGGCCATGAACATAAGAACAAAAGTCGTCAGCATAGATATGGTGAGAGCAGTCGCAGACATCTCGTAGATCATTAATAAATAGCGAGAAAAGTTGAGGCCCCAGTATAGAACCTTGAGGCACTCTACTCACTCTGCTTAAGGGTACAGAAGCCCAGCCTCCACGATCAATTAGAATCTGTAATCTCCCTGTTAGGTGAGATCGTATCCAGGAGCAAGCTGAATCTGACAGTCCAAAGGAGATGAGCTTCACACAGAGCAAATTGATATTCACAAAATCAAAAGCCCGAGACATATTTATTGAGATCAAGAGTGTAATTTCTCGATTGTCTGCATGAGCTAGTATGTCATCAACAATCTTAATCAGGGCAGATTAGGTACTATGTCCCTTACGAAACCCAGACTGAAAGTTACACAGCAAGTTGCGCATGTTGATATACTCAATGAGCTGTCTGTATGGCAATGTCTCTAAGAGAGAGAGAGAGAGAGAGAGAGAGAGAGAGAGAGAGAGAGAGAGTGGAAAGGAGGCCATAGTGGTGGGGTGAACCGTAACGAAGGAGCGCAGTAGACTTTTTGTTGCATATTTTCCCTTACACGGATGTTCACTGCTCACTATAAAATGTTTCACATAAAAAAATAATAAAAGTTAGGGATATGTAAAAACTGTATAACCTCTCGGGAGAAGCTTATAATAAATGCTAGAATCATTGTCTCTACATATAACAAATTTCACTATGACACATCGTACAACAATTGAGTCAACTTACAAAAACATCTGGGAAAAGCTAATCAAGAGCTCTTACTATCCAAGTAATCATAAATGAGTTCAATACTTTTTAAAACTCTAAACGCGCAAAAATACTTTGTTGCTATGCAAACTGAGAAGTGCATTAAATGTAGATATAGTTATTTTACTGCAGCTGCTGGTCCTCTGAAGTCGCTTAATTAAAAAACGCATGCACGCGCTACAAGCCACGTATGACTTAACGACTGCAGCAGACAAAATTTCTATACGTACTGAATTTGACTTTTCTAGTTAATTGAATGGTTTACATTTTTAGAGTTACAAACTTCTCACCAGATATGGAGAGAAATCGTATATGCCAGTTGATAGGAAAGAAGCACATCCACGTCCGCATATTTACAATATACACACAAATGGGAGTGTGCTATTTGCCTCCCTCGTGGCGTAATATACTATTACTGTATTTTTAAAGTAATGAGTAGTGATGTAAATGAAAGCAAATAAATAAATGTTATCATTATTACAACACTGCATGGCAGACTCAGATTGACACAAAATTTTTTTCGAAATAACAGTAATTTTAGGCTTTTGAGTATCTGCAGAGCCGTAGTGAAAGAGTAAGCTTACTATTAAACTTTGTGAACTTAAAAATAAAAAATAAATAAAAAAACGAACAGTGTAGAAAAAAATCTTGTAGTTAAAATAATTAATACTATAACGCATAAGGTAAAAAATAAATTCACTAATCACAAACACGTACAATTTTGTTCATTTATACGTAAATAATTTAATAATAAAAAAACACACTTAATCAAACTCTAGCGTGAGTTTTTTTTTATTTTGTAGAATTCAAACAGTAAAATTACGAACAATTTGTAATTAAATAAAATCGTTACATGAAATATTTTTGAATAAAATGACAACAGAAGGCTCAAGAACAAAACTTTTTATAAAAAAATGCACCAAATCAATTTTACTTTGTTTGAATAGTACGTATCACACTGAATTTTAATTTAAGTAGTGAAACTTCTAGGAACATTATGATGGTGTAAGTAAATGAGTAAGTGGCACAGAACACAATTAGTTGTAAGAGTAAACGTAATGATTTTTTCAATGAAAATACATAACTGTAATAATGTATAAAAATGTTAAAAAACTAAAATAAAATACCTTCAACAACAATTGCAGCTTCAAAGTTAAATTTAAAAAATGTTTGATTAAGGGCCCATCCATAATGTCTGGCAATTTTAAAATAGCCACTAAACTTTTTCTCTATTGGAGGAATCTCTATTTCACTTTGATCTGGTTGCTGAAAAAAAAAGTAGGATATGTCAAGGTTTGTTATCGTTATAAAAATTAATTTATAAAATATTAAGGAATCAAAGACTTTTTATCTGAAACACTAAATTGGTGTCCTATAAAAAATTTTAGCCTAGGATTCATCAAACAATAAAAATCTTTTTAGATTAAGAGGACCAGACATAAGAAACAATGTTGTTTAAGCTGTTGAAAATACTAGGAACTGTATATATTTTGGAAAGGGGATAGATAATGAAATGTGCAATAGAAACGAGTTGGATAATAAGGAAATAGCAATTAAAAAGTAGTAACAATAACAATAACAAAAGTAAACAATAATTATTATAACAATAATAGTAATAATAATAACAATAATAACAAAAACGATGATTATTAAAACAATTTTAATAATGTCTTTAAAAAAAGGAAAAAAGTTATAAAAATAAGAATAATTACAATAAACGGAACAAGATCTGAAACATGTATTAAGTGTTCAATTAACTTTTAATGTACAAAATTATTCTTGCACAAAAAAAACTTAGCGTTTTCTCAATTTTCCTCCATTGCTTCTGTTGTTAGCGAATTCTGAGATCAAGTTTTTAAGTAATAACTTAGAGAACAGTTATTGTGCAATTCTACTTTGTCATAGTACTTCTAATATTTATCAGTAATTCTTCAGGACACTAAAAGACCTTTCAGCACCAACGGACGTCACAGGTATCATATGAAATTGTTTCAGTTGAATAACTGAATTCAAGTGCTAAGTATAAGAGATCCAAAAAAACGAAAAATAATAGAGAAAGGAGTAAGCCAAGGTGTGGGGTGTTAGGAACCCTGAACGAAGCAATTTCATAGTTTCTCAGCGATGTATGTGACGATGGAATAAAAGTTTCACAACAGAAATGCACAGAAGGCCAACTAAAGTCGTTGCAAGTAAACATTCCCTAAATGCACTCCTAGCGGGGCCACCCTCTATTTGATAAATTAAGCGTCAGTCGCTTTGTACTCCAGCTTAATTAAGACCTTGCAGATTCAACCGTATCGAAGTTAAGCGGAAATTACTCACTTTAACTACCGTGATTTAAACAACTCCGTAAGCTGAGACCATGGATAAGCAGAAACTGCCAGATTCTCGCGTATTCTCTGACAGCTACCCTCAGTTTTCCCACACGTCCTTTCTCAGCCCTCTCCACACGATTTGAAAAGCCGTTAAATCAAAAATTCTAACCAATCATCGACCAATTGCTTAGTCTCCATCACAGCTCCTATTTTTACCACTTTTCCTACTACAGTAATATTAACGCCTTAGTAAAATTTTCCAAGCAGCGAGCCAATTGAATAGAAAAAAAGTGTACGATTCTTCTAAGAGCGACGATCACAAGTATAACTGGTATCACACAATCTAGACACATTACCACTAACTCTGTGTTTATAATCACTTACTTTTACAACTTCAATAATAAAATATTAGTTTAAAACTAGGCCAATGGCAATGTGTGTTGAGAACTGGAATTTGAATGTGGCTACATTCTGTAACAAAATTGTGGATTAGGTTGTTTCAATTAGCTTTTAATTAGTTATGTGACACTTTAGTAACAATTTGTTGCTTATTTTGAAAAAGATAAGGATTTTCTATTTTCATAAAAGTGCCTTTACCTTGAAGTTGTTATAAAATATTCTTTGTACCTTTATATTAATATTCTAAGCGAGCTATTTTTTTACATCTTTTGTATAAAGAAGACAGTCGAGGTGAAACGAACTTTTAAAGGTGTGTTTGCACATCGACTTATATATTCATACATAAGTGCAGTCTGTCAATAGATTTTGACCTTTTAGAGAAGATATAGTAAACAAAAATGCGTAAAAAATTAGAAATTTCCCGTAGAATTTTTTAAGTTTTTTAAAAAATTAAAATTTTCAAAAAAAATCATGTTTTTTTTAGGCTCTATATCTTATAGACGCTTGCACTTTTGTACTCCTTTTTCATCTTAAAATTTTCTTGAAATATGGTGCAAATATATTGTTTATTACTGCGCGCTTTTTTAATTAATCGCTGATTGGCAAAAAAACGGTTGAAAAATCGGATACTTTGAAAAAACTCTAAAAAATGATTTTTCTTCGAGAATAAATTTTATTTTTTTATTTTCGACAACAGTATGAAATAGCTGGTATTATTTTAATAAATTTACAAAAAAAAATTTTTTACGCACGTTTCTTTGGAGCCGAAATAATTTTTTTTTTGGAAATAATCTAGTGCCCTCATCTTTGCATATTAAGGACTGAAATTTTCAGAGTTTTTAGTTCAATATGTGTACTTGTGAAAAAAAATACTACTACAACATATTCGCTCCCTATTACTTGGAAACTTACTGGCAAGAGAAGCATGCTTGGGGCCCACTTCTTTGCTGGCAGCACCGGTGTGCGGAAGTAGAGGGATTGGGGTGAGGACACTGTTCACGCGCATAGATGTGTAGAAATATTCTCTTATCATAAGTACCGTGTCGTAGCTTCGACTGCACATGAAGCCTTCAAATGATCATATCTCTTGAGTGTTATGATGTGTTTTAAAGAAATAGTTCAAATAAAATTTTAAAGAATCGTCGGTAGACACTTATTGTTAAGTATTGCTTTTTTTGGCAAAAAATAAAAATTTATTTAACATATTACTTATGAAAAATTGTCAGTTAATTAAGAAGAAGTAGAACCAGAAAAAGAAGAAGGAGTGCAACAAAAGTTAGTCCAAATTGAACTGGACTGCACTGAGTGGAAGAGTCAAGTAACGAATCTCTTATGTTCTACAATACATTGCACAGTGTATCTTTACGGTTTTTTTTTTTTTTTTTTTTTTTTTTTTTAAAGTCATAGCTCTTGATAAGAAAATGATATTGGTCGCGTTGGACACGATAAATTTGCAGTTTAACATTACTAAAAAATATATATTGTTAATATTCAGTTGCGAAAATTAATTCATAAAATTTAGGGGGACCTGGGCATTCATTAGAAATTTTTCTGATATGCTTGTTACAATTTTATTTATGTAACTCGTTTATACTATTTAAATTTTAAAATATTAAAGTATTCTAAATCATATGGTTTTATTATCAAACTGCACTACGTTCTTCCAAAGTAAAGAAATATATTTATTCAACTCATTCATAATAAATTTTTTCATACATTTCTGCTTGGCGCGTTTTTTGTAGACGACACTCTACCTAACATTTCTCTAATCGTGTCTATAAGTGTACTTCAGAAGGAAATATCTCAATAAACTCCAAAGCAACCTATATATTTTTTATGTTTAATTGAAAGAGTGATAGTTAAACTACATGTCTCTAGTTTTTTGTTTATATATGAAGTGGTTTGAGAGAGTTATGATGAGATTTCTGGTGAAAAAAGTACCATCTCTATAAGAAACTATGTACAAGACGCTTACTTGTAACGCGTTTTACTAAAAATTTTCTGCAGCAATCTATGCTGAAATTTTTCAGAGGTAAAAAACATACTCATTGACCGTGGATTTCAATTTCATTCATTTCACAAGCACTTCAATGGGTGTGTCAAGCCTCCTTAAAATGCGTTAGTTTTTGTATAATTTCTAAAAATTTTCAATGTAAATTGTAATTAGTATACGAAAAATAAGCTGAAAAATTTTTTTTTTTACAATTTTAGATTTTTTAGAATAGAAAAATAATGTTTCCGACCAAATTTAGCATATTTTTTGCTTATTACACTTAAAATATAATTTAATAAATATAATCAATTATTTTACATTAACGGACAGCGAAAAAAGCGTGAATAAAGTCACTTTGACTGGAAATTTGTAAACAATAAAACAAAAATTACTAGAATTTCATTTTTTTAGAGGTTACGTTAGCAAAAATCAACTTTAATCAGGGTCATAGGAATGTGACTAGTATACACACATAACTCAATACAAAGTTATCGATCGTACGTAAACATCACAATTTACTTTTACGAATTATAGCCATATTTAACGCAGACCTAAAAAAAGTTTATTTTACCTTCAACTTCCTGGCCAGGTTGGTGGTGAAAGGGATTTTGTTATAATTTTTCTATGTTCTACAACTCTCTTCGATGCTGATAATTTTTTATCTGTATATGTTCTTCCTATCAGGAGCTATAACTTTTTTGAAAAAAAAAAACATAAAATAGACACACCATGCTTCGTATTGGGAACTTTGTGCTTTCCCCCCATATTTCCGTTTCTTATGATTGACTGTAGTCTGTCTTCTTTTTGTGATTAAACCTTAAGGCTGATAATATTAAAATAAGTTTTATTCTAACTTTTTATTACCTGTAAACATAGTATCACTACCAATCATGTTTTAATGTTCAATAAATGTATTTTTAATAAACTTTCTAAACCAAAGTGTAAGATTTGGTGCAATGATTAAATGATAATATTTAAAATTCAAATCAAGTGAAATTGAGTTTAAACTATTTCTAAGTTTATTACTGTAAATTTGTAAATTTTATTAATAAACGTTAAATTGTGAATCAATAACTTAAAAAAAAACTAGTTTCTACAGGTGTATAGTGTTAACAATAATACGTTTTTTATTTATTTATACATAAACTTAAAACATTCTATTTAAAGGTTTTTTGGATAATTACATTGACCATGTCTTGTACTATACAATTAAATGATGTTTATCTAATTGGTGATGATGTGCCACAAATTATTGGTAATAAGTTACCAACAAACAAACAAATACTGAAAGTTCTTTTCTTCAATACCAGACATATAAAGTGAAGGATAGTATAGCATTAGCGGTCAAAGAAGCTTTGATGTTCTGGGAAAAAGCCAATATACCTACGCAGAAGTTTGGCAGATAATGTAAAAAGTTAGCCAATTTATATGAAGAGTACAGAAAGATACAAAAAATTGTGGGTGTATCTAGTAATGTGAATCACGAAAAAAATGTTACTGCTCAATTAAGCTTGTTATTTGACGTGGCACATGGTGATGTTTTTAATATTGTAACTGAT